TAAAGGGTGAGAGGTAAACTAGGAGAAATTGCACAAAAAAAGCTTTGTCTGCATGTGGCAGTCAGGGTGCATCTCCGGCTGCAAACCTCAGGGTAACAGAAATGTGACATTCCATACAACTCAATTTAACAAGTATCTTGGACCCCATTATGCATAAAGAAAAAGCAGTTGTGATCCAGTGATAGAATTCTCATCTTCCATGCAGGATGCCCAGGTTCGATTCCCAGTGAATGCACCTCAGATGCAGCCACCATCTTCCTGTCAGTAGAGGCTTAGGTATTGCTGTGATGCTGAACAGGTTTTAGTGGAGCTTCCACACTAAGATAATTAGGAAGAAAAGTCTGGAGAACTGCTTCTGAAAATCAGCCAATAAAAACCTTATGGGTCACAATAGTCCAATCCCATTGTGCACACGATCGCCATGAACTGGGGACTGACTCAGCAGCAGCTAACAACAACATGCCTAGAGAGGGAAAGGATGAAGTCCAAGGTCACACAGCAAGTTTGGCAGATCTGGATGTAAATCCAGGTGTCTTGGCTCCTTATACGCCACCCTTTTCCTGTCCAGTTGATCTTGCACTTGGAAGGAGACCCGAGTCCCATCTCTGAGCCTATGGACCCTGTTTTCTAGCCTCCCTGATAATCTAGGCCGTGCTTCTGCACTCCACTGAGTGAACGCTGTTTGGAAGAATTCTAAGAATTCTAAGCAGCTCCTTTTTCCTACTGAGTCAAATCTGCCTCCCTCTGTCCTGTACCCACTGGCCCTACCTCTGTCTTCTGGGGCTATACTAGATGTTTTCTTCTTTTTTGTTTAATTTACTATAATTTTTACCATTATAAGTTTTATTTCGTTCTGGTGGTGAAATGAATTTCCTCATGTGGCCTTTTGCCTTGATTCTTTGGAAAAACAGCTTGAGAGATTTTTTTCCTCCTAAACCCTGAGGAGTTACCTTTGCTCTAGTTTTCTACCCCAGAGGAGTTGTTAACTTTTGTCCATGTTGTTCGGCATTTCCTGGGTAAGCTGTAACAAGGATGGTTTGATACTCTCTGCCTGGCCCTGGGCTGCAGCCTGTCCTGTGATTGGTATGCACCTCTCAGGGGTTAGTCAATAGACCAAAAATGTGGTGAGTTGTAGCCTACTATACAAACCAAGCACTTGTGGCCTACCGAGAGAGGATTGGTCGGTTTGTGATGCTGGTGGGAGGACCCTGCCTTGGAATTGACAAGGAGTTTGGGTACTTAAACAGCCAGCACCACAGAGGTTTTTCAGATAGAAAGAAGCAGGAAGAGAAGCAACAGAAAGAAGAAGAAGGAGGAAAGAAGAAGAAGACTGAGAGAAAGGAGGCAAGGAACCTCCTAAAAGAGCTAACCTGAGTCAAGGGCTGTAACACTGAAGACAGTGATAGGCCCAGAAGGGGCCCAGGGGCAGAGCTTGTGGTGATGGATGGCAGGGCCAAAAGGACCCTGTCCTGAGGGAGATGACAGGAGGCCTGTGCAGTTGAGAGGAGCTGAGAGAGCTGTCCTGCACTGAAGAAGGGAGGCCTTGCCTACGTGCTTCCTGATCCTGATCCTGATCCTGAGTTATAGCCTATTGATCCTGATCCTGAGTTGTATTCCTTAATAAACTAGTTAACTTTAAGTATGGTCTGTGAGTTCTGTGTGGCCATTGCAAAGGATGTTTGAACCCAACAGAGAAGTAGAGAGTGCTGTGGAAGGGACAGCTAGTGTTAGAGTTGGTAAAAAGGTTGGAGAATGGAGGTATGTCTGACCACTACTTCATCGGAATCAGCTTTCAGCCAATCCTGGTCATTATCCCACCTGAAGTAAGACAGGTTCTGACATGGTACAGCGGTTAAAGTGCTCGGCTGCTAACCAAAAGGTCAGTGGTTCAAACCCACCAGCTGCTCCGCAGGGGAAAGATATGGTAGTCTGCTTCCTTAAAGACTGTTGTTGTTGTTGTTAGGTGCTGTCAAGTTGGTTCCAACTCGTAGCAACCCTATGTACAATAGAACAAAACACTACCCAGTTCTTCATCATCCTCACAATTGTTGTTATGCTTGAGCCCATTGTTGCAGCCACTGTGTCAATCCATCTCATTGAAGGTCTTCCTCTTTTTCACCGACCCTCTGCTTTACCAAGCATGATGTCCTCCAGGAACTGGTCCCTCCTGACAACATATCTAAAGCATGTGAGACAAAGTCTCGCCATCCTTGCTTCTAAGGAGCATCCTGGCTGTACTTCTTCCAAGACAGATTTGTTCATTCTTCTGGCAGTCCGTGGTATTTGCAATATTCTTTGCCAACACCATGATTCAAAGGCATCAATTCTTTGGTCTTCCTTATTCATTGTCCACCTTTTGCATGCATGTGAGGTGATTGAAAATACCATGGCTTGGGTCAGGCACTCCTTAGTCCTTAAAGTGACATCTTTATTGTTTAACACTTTAAAGAGGTCTTTTGCAGCAGATTTGCCCAGTGCAATATGTCATTTGATTTCTTGACTGCTGCTTCCATGGGTGTTGATTGTAGATCCAAGTAAAATGAAATCCTTAACAATTTAGATTTTTCTCTGTTTATTATGATGTTGCATACTGGTCCAGTTGTGAGGATGTTTGTTTTCTTTATGTTGAGGTGCAATTCCTACTGAAGGCTGTAGTCTTTGATCTTCATCAGTAAGTGCTTCACGTCCTCTTCACTTTCAGCAAGCAAGGTTGTGTCATCTGCATATCGTAGGTTGTTAACGAGTTTTCCTCTAATCCTGATGCTGTGTTCTTCTTCATATAGTCCAGCTTCTCGGATTATTTGCTCAGCGTACAGATTGAATAAGTATAGTAAAAGTATACAACCCCGACACACACCTTTCCTGACTTTAAACCTCACAGTTTCCCCTTGTTCTGTTCAAACGACTGCCTTTTGATCTATGTACAGGTTCCTCATGAGCACAATTAAGTATTCTGGAATTCTCATTCTTCACAATATTATCCGTAATTTGTTATGATCCACACAGTCGGATGCCTTTGCATAGTTAATAAAACACAGGTAAACATCTTTCTGGTATTCTCTGCATTCAGCCAAGATCCTTTTGACATCAGCAATGATTTCCCCTCCTTCTATGTCCTCTTCTGAATCCGGCTTGAA